CGGGTTTCGATACCCGTGGTGGGCAGAGCACAGATAGCCCATTGTGCAGCTTTGTGCTTAATTAAAAACAAACAAACATCTTCTAAATGTTCTAAGCTTATTTTTCTTTGGTCTGAAAAATTTGGGTTTTAATTTTTACCCAAACATTGCTTGAATTCATAATTCATAGGATTTGTTATACGTATGGATAGCAGACCTAAAGTACATAGTACGATATATTAAAACGATTTTGAATATGTAAATTCAGCAAGTTACGTGACACAGCTGATATAAAATCACGATACAACACCATCAGAACTACATTTTGACATTATTTGGCATTCATAGGTATTATTGTGCCACCGACATTTGATAGCTTTTGAGAAGGACATGCAACAGCTTTTTCCGACAGAAAATGTTCATACACTCAAATCATAAACATGTGTTCAGAGTGAGAATTTATAATTTACAAAATATCCCATGGACTTAATGGCATTGAAAGTCAAAGAAATATGGAACAACCTATGGCACTAGGACGATCCAGAAATAGACCTGCAACAAGGCGTACCCTAGCCATTGTAAACAAAGTACGGTGACTTGTAATAGGCGAGAACCCACGAACATAAAAATCAATGGCAAAAGCCATACACATGTCTCAAGTATCAGTAAGCAACATAATCAAGAAAAATCTCTTTCTGGCTGGAAATGAAGCCAATAATTATTTGTTTATTAAGATAAGGGAAGTATTACGGAAGCATGCAGGGAGGAATAATGGACTTTGTACATGACAGCCTTACGATAAAGCCTTTTGCAGTGGAAACTACCTCAGACAGCAAAACCGTATGCGTCTATATTAATCGCAACGATGTGATGAGGCTCCAATATAATTTTAACATATTAAATTGTTGTTGTTTTTGTATCATATTTTTAATTATATACTTCCAAAATAAACAATTCTGAAAAAAAAAGTGTTTTATTGACAGTATATTTTACATGTTATTCAACTTAAACCTAGAAAAAAATCACGATAAAGCTTATGCATTTTTATCTTCGTATTTCAGTTATGTTAACAGCTTGGAAACTGAATTCCAATATCACTATTTTAATTCTCACAGGACTATGGACCCTTTAAACAACCATCAATTATAAAAGATAAAACAGAAAATGGTTTCGTGAATAAATAAACAAATGGTACAAATAAGCTCACCATTCTGGAACATTCTCCGGTTTATCACACTGCATGTTGACGGTATTGTAAACCTTCCCACGAGGACACGCCATTATTCTTGGGATCCGTCCATATAAGCAAATTAAAAACTTGTTACAGTCGTTTGGATGAGGGTACCGAGGAGCTATGGCAAATACTTGTAAAGCTGTGGGAGTTTTCTGGGGACATTTAAACCCCTGATGAACTGTAATAAATTCAAATTTAGCGTACTAAGTCACCATTAAACACTTGAGTAGCCAAAACAATCATATTTATACATACAAGCCGATATAGTAATGAATAATAATATTCAATTTGATTAAAAATATCCTGATAAAAATATTCTGTACTTACTTCCTTAATATCCTGATAAAGCTAACTATTCACTTTTAAAAGAGATTGTGATAAACATCCAGTTCAGGTGTAGGTGTTAGGGAGTTAGAACTTGAATACCAGGGAAAGTATGAAGACAACCATTCTATTTAGCGCCATCTGTTGATTACAATATTAGTTGTAAAATTTTCAAAATTATATGATTTATGGCTGTATAGCTTCGAAATTAATATTTTGAAAATAACACGGGCGGAGAAATCAAATTCTTTTCGTTTTCACAAGTTTTAGAAAATCTTTAGACAAATTCTACATTTTAAATATTTACACTATAAACGTCTTACTTAGTACTATCTATGGTTGAAGGTTCAACAAAATAGAAAACTCAAAGACAAATGAAAATGATTCTATCAAAGAATATTTATATAATATATATAAAGTTCAAATTAAGGGAGGAACCAAAATGACCTACAGAGAGAGCCACATTGATGTGAATTTTATAGCACGCACGGAAATTCTCAAAATAATTGCAAAAGCCTGTAGAGTGCAGCCTCCACAGTTGTTTTGTCTAGCTCGCCTCAGCCCACTCACAGGAGGAGGCTAGCGTCTTCTCTACGCACAAGTCCAAAGATGAAATTGTTTAAAAATATCGAAAACTTAAAAAAAGTTGAACATATCTGGGATAATGATTTTCGCTTTAAAATATCCAGTATAAGCACCAAAATAATTATATTATTACAGCTTTCACGTACAATAATTTTATTAAGGCACGAATGTACGCCTTTGTAACTCACTATAATTATTTTTATTTACAAATTACACTGATTATGAGATGTGTTAAGTTACTGCTTAACACCTACCCGTGTAATTGGAAATTAATACGACTACCACCATGAACATTTTTGATCGTTAACAGATGGTGAAGGACCGAGAAAAAAAAGAAACACTACGTGATTGGTTGTGTGATGTGTACTGAAACGTGTAACATTACATGATTGGTTGTATGTTGTGTACCAAAACGTGTAACACTACATGATTGGTTGTGTGCTGTGTACCCCTTGCTGGAAATCATGTTCTGCTGAAGCTCTACTAATCCCTTTCAATTTGTGAAACAGTTTATAATAAAAACAGCAGGGTTTGAAGTAAGAGCCTGTTTTGGAGTACGAAAACTTGCAATTCATGTGCTCTATTGAAAACAGTTACAAAAGCATCGCCAGATTACCTATCTCCTGTTCAAAAAGTTAATATTTATGTAATTTTTATTATACCAATCACGAGTAGTAGGGCTTTAAGATTAGGTAGTTATTATTTTCGTTAACGATAACGGTTCTTTTCGTGGTGTTTTGCTTTAAGCGAGTCAAATTTGTTGTTAGTATTAAGGATCACGTGATCTGGTGGTTTTAATGATCACGAAACAAACAAACCTGCCTTAGCAACACTAGTGACAACTGTGACGGGTCATTTTCATTTTGAGTACATTATGCAATAACTAAAACATGTATTTTCTTTGCGTGTGAGTTATTTCTAGGCTGTAAATTATCAATGTATAAAATATTGATGAATACGTGTTCTATTGTTGGATGGGTTGTTTTGAATTATTCGGTAAGAAATTATGCGAAATATAGTTCACTTAACGATAACAAATAAATTTATTTCGAAAATAACATTCTATACTGTATACAAACTATGTTCACTTGTAGACCTAACTCGCCAAACAACGTTGGAACAGAAATTCTGACACTAATGGTACATCTAACTCGCAAACTTAATCAATAATTCTCTCCCAAAATTTCCTCACTAACTGATCTATAACAAACACGTTAAGTTACTCGATTACTGACTCACCAACTGGCACTAAACTGATGTGTAAATTAACTCACCCAGTCTGACATTTTCATACTATACTAGTTCTCTACATATTACAGAAAGCGTCGAAATTTCACATTAGCCTAAACTTTTATGAAACTTCTAGACTTTGACTTGTCGAAACGTTGTACATTTGCTGTTATGTTAAACTTATATTAAAGTTTTTCTTCATTACCCATTCAAGCCGTCTCCAGCCATTATTAAACTTCTAGACTTTAAAAATCATTACGTCATGTAAAAAACTCCCTCTAGTGAACAAAAACATCAAAATAATAAAATTATAGCCAACAATAACATGAAGATTCACTATTCTGTTTGAGGTTTTGCGTACATACGTGTTTTTTAGGTATTTATTTTATTACAACTGAAAATTTACAATATTATCTCAGAACTGTAAGTTGTTTATGGTCATGATGGACGTCAAGACATGCTGAATATCTCTATTATGGTATACCAAAAGGTAGGCAAAACAACAAGTATGTCGTGGTATGAAATAACATAATCAAAGGAAATGATAGTAGTCTGTGTTTCAGCTAAACACCCTTCCTCGTATCCTGAAGGAAGGGCGTTTAGATGAAAGAAATAATTATGTAAATAGACAGCTGCAGGGTAAAGAGAACAGAGATAACAAATGAGATTAGTCTTTAGGGGGTAAAAGGGAAACGGAACATATAAAAATATCGATAAAGTAACCACTTTCGTAATTAAAATAAAACAACTTACAAAATTTTAACAAAGTACTAAACCTCCAAATCCCTCTAAAATCATACACAAACTATAAGTCTATATCTATGAGATAGAATAAGAAGTGATATAATATATGAATAAAATTAGTAAAAATAGTGAAACCATCAAAGACCGTAAACGTAATGCAGGTAAAATATTTTCTCATAATTAATAAGTATTTTATGTAACGAATTTGTTATTATATATTTATTTTAATATTAACGTTTGTTTAGATTAAATTCATATTTACAAACATGCATAGCTTATAGTGTTAAATATGTATTGTGAAACTCCCGCCTATACTCCAAAGCTGTAGAAGATTCTCGAGAGTAAGAATCAACAATATATGTATGTACTTAAACGCTTAAAACAATATTGTTACGTAAAAGTGAAATTTCTAGAACGCCTCCACATGGCTATAAATATAATCAACGCGACGCACCAAAGAGAGTATCTATTATTGGTTTGCTATACTTGGTGTGCTAAAAAACTTCGTAAGCTTCAACTATGATTAACGATTATTAATCGGGAACTTCAGATATATTGACCAAGAAAGTTTATAAATTTCAAACATTACAAATCATTCAACTTTAGTGGATTCACATCGAATATTGGTACTTTTACGAAAACATTACCTAACTTCAACGGTGGAAAACTCAGTGTGTGTGGCAAAGGACAAAGCTAGCTAGCT